TGGCTTTGCGCTGTGTGAATTAATAACACTTCATTTACAGACGGAAGAAAGCTGGCATGGTATTTCCAGTTAAAGAGATTAATTTTTAAACACCTAATTGACAGGCTGGGGTTAGGCAGGATAAGCAACAGACTATAAGGCTGCAGCTGCAAAGTCAAGGTGACTGGAATACTCAGAGAAAGGCTTTCAAAAAGCAGAATAGAGAGCAGAGAGGGAGGGAGTGAAGAGAATTAGTCCTCAAGCACTTTTCCCTCCGCCCCCTTTTCTTCCTCTCTTTATTAGGAATGATTTACTTTCTCAGTGAAAGGATATAAAAGCTCAAGTATAGCGGCGTAATTATCGCAGAGTGAAAATTTAAAGGTTTGACTCACAATGTCCTCAAGTCAGCGAGCAGACTGCCAGGCGATAAGAGTGACTGTGTGCAACACTCGGCATCCAATTGGTGGTGTTTTATGGGCTTTGCCAAGCAAGAGCACACAAACAGCACTCGGCTCCGCCAGTCTGTAAACATGATGGACTGTGGCAAACTACTAGGGCCGGTGTTTACCTTGGCAGAGCCTGGCCCTGGCATGTCGGTAGCATCACTTAATTACTGTTTACATGTAAATATTAAATTATACAAACAACCCAGCAGAATGTCTCCAAAAGTACAGAAATACATATTCAGGGTCAACCTTATCTGTCCGCCACTGCGAAGATACGAATTGTTTTGAATCGCAAATTCTCGGCATTGTACATAATCTTCATAATTGTTTAATGCTGTTGTCCAAGGGCATTCGGGTAAATATGATCCCATAATCTGCATAATAGCAGATGCTCAGATATGTAAAACGCACCTTGTGTTCTCAGAGAGCGAGAACACAAAAATAAAAAAAGGGAAAAAGAAGGTTATTGTTCAAAACAGTTTTATCAGGAATAAGAACTGTGATCATTAATGTCTCCAGTCAAGAGCGGGAGATGATTGCTGTGATAACAGACCTGTTCTCCTGACAGTCCAGAGCAGCATATATAGTAGAGCACCGGTGCCTACTGTGCATCTCTGGTATGGCTGAGTAAAGCACTTGTTCATTTTCAGTGAAGGGTAACATGAAACAGGCCTCAGCCTTCTGATGGACAGGGAGATTTCACCTTCGCCAGTGAATGATAATGCATTATTAAATTTGCCTCTCTGCTCACTAGATACACTTAGCTGACCACAGCATATTTATCTCCCCATCCGAGGCTCACGTCTTGGCAGGAGAAAGCATTCTGTCACTTTTGAGGCATTTCAAAGATTAAAAAGAACCTCTCTCTTTTCAACGTCCCTAAAAGCATCCCCCCTTTTCAGTGAAATGTGATTAGCAGGAGATGGTGTCACGCAATGGAACATTCATGAGGGGGAGAACAAATATCCAAATGAACTCCCATGTCCTCGAGGAATAGCCCCTCTCTGCACCATCAGCAATCTCTCACATGGGCCGGGGAAATTTGATTGATCCTCTATTGAATTATTTTTTTGCACTCTTTCATTTCAACAGGACGCACTGACAAGTTGTTTGATCATAAAGCATTATTGTCTGCCAAGTCACATTTCAGGGTTGTGATGGCTAATGATCTTGCCTCCTGACTTAGGGAAAGTCAGGTAGTCAGCATGTGTTTGAAGCTAGCAACGCCAAGGACATCGGGAGGACTGAACAAAACACTATGCATTAAAGTCAGGGAGATGAAGAGAAGGAGCTTACACTGAACATATCTAACTTTTTAATGATACTGTTGGAAGATTACCATCAATGTCAGTGAAATATTTACGCCACAAAGAGCGCACAATGGATGCTCAAACTTTCGCCAAACCCAAAGTCCCCTAACTTCCTTTTTTATCGTTGCAAATGCTTATGCAAAGGAGGAGAAGAACAAAGACTACAAAGGCTAGAAATGACTTTTTCATCTTTTCAAAAAGATATTCCCCTCTCTACATGAGCTCATCAATGTCCACAGGTCCTTGCCCAAAGCAGCTGTGTGTAATAGACTGTGACTGCTACCTGCTCATCATTCACACGGTAAACTGGGGGCTGCGGATAGTGCAGCAGCAACTGGACATGTAGGCAGCATCCTGACAAAGAAGAAAGGCGTGGCAAATCAGCTTAGTCCATTGTGGTCACACCAATGCATCGAGGGTTGATAGCAGGTATGAACGGATGCACCTCGAGGTGACATAACACACCACAGGCATCCATTTGTGCTTGGGAGGACATTACGAGTGCATCTCCTGTTATGTCAACAAGGATATATAACATTTACCATCGGAGTGCCGAGATCACATTACCAGTGAATCACCAGCTTTTAAAATATGGTTTACAGAATCAGTTTACATACTGTAGCTGCCTCTGCCTCTCCTGTCAGGCGCTCTAGCTCTGCGTAAAAGAGATGTGGCATGTTTAACTGCAGTGGGAGGGCTGAGGCAAAGTGGGGAAATTTGTTGTTGGCAAAATGCTTAAACTGCCACATGGTATTTACAGAAAAGTCTTATACTTCAACGTACATACATATGGCTTGTGTTTCAAACACCTTCTCCCTGAGGAAATAAAATGATGTCAAGTGTTTGATGTCCAAAGTAAGTTTACAGCCAAAGGCTTTTTTACCTTTCAAATGTCCCCCTTGTTTGTCAGCTACCTGCTGTTTCACGAGACAGAGGCTTGTCGGAAGCTTTCGCCACAGACTTTCTGTTTGAAGCAATTCAATTAGTCACATGTGAGATAACACTTAGCTTTCTACTAGCCTTCTTTCTCACACATCATCTAATCTCCCCCTTTTTTTTTTCTCTGGGAAATTTGGACACAAAACAATCAAGTTCAAACAACAACCCAAAAACAACTACCATCTGGTTACTTTGCACTGGGTGACACAACTTTTGAAATGGTCTTTTTTAGACAACAACAAACAGCCTTTGTCCTTCATCAGCAGAGATGACATGAAAAAGATGAGAAATGTTCATAGGATATGAGTGATGTGACATTATAGTGGCAGTCTCTGAGGTGTCTGGCTATTTAAATAGCTTCCATATGAGCCGGGGCACCGCATCCTTCCTCTGCGCCTACCCTGCTCTCTTCTGAGAGAGTGCATTGCAAGAGATGAATTTAATGCTCTGCCAGGATCATAAAGATCAAACAAGTGGAGAGATATCATTAAACCATTGGAATGTTATCTCATTTATCTAAACAAACTGATGCGATGAACAAGCCTAATTAAAAAGCGCACTATAAACAAAGCTTCGGATGGCGAGGCCTCACCCCTCTTTAACAATGGAACACATTTATTTTATTAATCTAATGCATCATGTATCATATCATTACAGTTCAATATATCTATCATTAATTTTATTCCCTTCACTTAAAGCTTTTATTGGAATTACTTTGGTTATTAGTTTGTTCTAATGTATTGGTTACCTCTGAATCTGGCTGCTACAATCTCTCTTATCTCGCTGCATAAACCTGTGCATGTTATTCAAATTGCCTCATTTATTATGATAGCTTCCTCATGTAAATTGTGCTGACTGCTCGCCCTTGCACAGTCCTCATTAGACTAATGAAAACCTTCAAACGAAAAAACTAAACAACCTGCCAAATAAAGGTCTGGGGTTATTATGAAAATTACAACTGTGGGAGCCGGGAGAAGCTCTCTTCATTAATTCATGCTCAGCAAATTGGTAACTAATTTAGTTGCACTCCTCTGCATTAATGGGTTATTTTATAAAAATGTTTTCCACAGCCCGAGACCTCTGGTGCACACACTGGAGAGCTCAGAATCCTAATCAAGTCCAGTGACATATTAGGAATTGACAATCTCAAAAGATAATGTGGCGCGTGTTTGTGGACAGATGTGTGTGGGTCAACTAGCTAGAATTGGTGTGGATTGCTGGGTAATTTGCTTTCTGCTGGAATATTGCATAGAAATTACAGTTCATTTGTGTTGATTACCAGAGTGTGGAGGAGGCACTTCAGTTAAGAAGAAAGATTTTCTGTTACTGAGGAAACATTCAGGTGATTTAATACGTGGATACTTGATTAAATCTCCTTTTTCTGTTTGCGGTGCTCTGTATGCTCGACGCACACTCACACTGACACACGTGCAGAGACAGTTAGACAGTTTGTGACCCATAAATTCAGCTCATGATCCTGCTAATTATTACTATTCACTGCTTCACACCCTGTGAGTGAAGGTCTAGCACTGATCTTCACGTCAGCCTAGCCAACAGGGAACATACAGCCCAATGATTTCCACAGTGGTTTTAATATCATTATCAGCCTCAACCCCACCCTTCGTCACCCAGCACAGCACCCCCGCCCCGCTCAAAACCAACAGAGAATACGGAAATCTATTATTTGCTTCATTTTGTATTTAATCCGCCACGCTTAGTAGATTTCTATCTTTTTTCTTTTCTCTTTTTTTCTTTACAAGCACGGCGAAATTGTAATGAAATAATGCCGGCAATTAATAATAAAAACATTTACTCTAGACTATGAGATAGAGGTTTTGAATATGTTTCCCTTTAAGTTCAGAGTTAATGAGGATTATAGGAATAAGCAAATGTCAGCAAGTCAAGTGCATTATACAAAGCGCTCATTATTTTCCACATATATGTAAAACATAGCAGTATTAATTTGGTATATAACAAAAACTTTTGATTTAAAAAGTCAAATCTGATTTTCAGTAACACAATTAGACTAATGGGTGTACAGGAAGGTCACATCTGAGCATTATTTTATACACACATTTCTTTCTGGTGAAAAAACGATGTCTTATCTATATATTTCCATTTTAGAAGTTGTCTGATATCACCAAACAGCAGCATGTGTAATACAAAATCTGTTTTATAAATGTGTATTATTTACAGCAGGAAAACATACTAACACTGTGTTTCTGTGGAGTTCCTTAAACAGAGATTTTACAGCAAGCAAAGTGTGTGCAACATTTCATCCAAACATTTACACACATCCACACATATTTACACTTGTATAGCTTACCTCTGAAGTGCATGTTTGATTTGTAGACTGTAAGAAAAGAAATATTAAACTGAGTGTTTGAATGGCTACAGTGGTTTCGGTTTATTGTTATACTGACACAATCCACAACTGGGATAAATCGGGAGGGTGAAACAACTCCTGCCTTCCCATTTCTAACATCAACAATAATCACAGGCTTATTCAAGATCGAGGAAAATATACCGGACAAAAATAATGTTTTCTGCTAATGCTAATTTCTTTCTTCTTTCATTTTTTTTGGGTTAAAATGAGTGTGATCTTCAAAACACTTGGAGGCACCTTTACCAACAATGGTCTCAGAAATGTGTTCTGCCTTTGGTGAAAAATGAACCCACTGTAAGCTCAGTGTGTTCTCCTGCCTCTACTGATTTTTACAAACCTACTCTTCTAAATTGCTGAGCCTTAGTCTTTATAATTAGTCTTTATAAGACTTAATTCTCAAAATTACAACTTATTTTATAAGGCTCCTCTTATAGCGCGGGTCCAGTAGAGCACAAACGTGGCTTGTTTCTCCTAACATCTGTCATGTTCATACATTGTGAACATTCAATAGGAGGAACTAAGCTTATTATAAGTCTTTAACTTAAATGGATGCTTTCAAAAGGAAACAATACAAATCACAGCTCATTTTTGGATTGGGAAATCCATAACTCCATACTGTGTATCATGTGGCCTACACCCCTCTATCAAGTGTTTCTCTTTTAAATAAAACCATCTCACCTTTTTCGTTGTGCATCCTCTTGGCTTCATGGCTCATGTCGTGGGCCAGGTCTCCCTCTTTAGGCCCAGGCGGGATGTTGGGGGACAGGCCTAGCAGGGCGTGGTTCATGGACATGCCATTGTGGTGTATCGCTGGAGAGAGAATGTGAAAACAGCAGAGGTGTTAGGAACATCGCCAGCAAGACGTATTTCTACTTCGTCTTGGTATCACAGAGAAACAACAGCATTCTGCAGTCAAATGTGCGTTTGTTCTTCACCATTCATCTGTGTGACAAACGTACGTATCCTGTCTGAGGAGCTTTCCGTGTGGGCCGGGGAGCTGGACACGCTGCTGCTGCGGTGGGACGACGGGTGGCTGCCTGGCCTCCGGTGGTCTTCTAAGGAAGGAGCAGGGGAGGGACTGTCCGGCACCCGTTCCTGGAACCCCAGCAGCGCCAGAAAAGTACACCCCAAAAATAAATATACAATATATACTTACACGTTACACAACAGTAAGGCATTTTAAAGGTCCCCTATTGTACTGTTTTTCATCAATATATTATAGGTCTCAGATATATACAAAACATGTCTCTGAAGTGTTTGGCTCCACATACCAAACAGATCATGCATTGCAGCATTACCCATAATCCCCTCTGTTTCAGCCCTGTTTCAAAAGTGCTGATTCTCTGTCTGTTACTTATGAAAATAAGGAGCCCCTCCCCACGCCCCTCTGAGAGATATTTGGTTAAAAAGAACTCAATGGTGCTCTAGGAGGAGATTCAGGTGATAAGGTGGGGGGGTTACCTTGGTTGGTTATTGGCTAATGGTTACACAAGCCAAAAAATCGTTATGACATCATAAAGTGGCCAAAATCTGATCAGCTCATTTTCAGACAGGTTTTTATATAAATGGATCAGGACAGAAAGTGAGCGAATCTTTTTTCCTGAAACTTTCAGAATCTCTTTACACAGAGGGGACACATGTTTAAGTATACAAGACATGAAAAAGTGCATTTTTTGCATAATAGGTGACCTTTAAGTCAAGTTCAACAGTCGTGTCTGCTTTCTGTTTTTTAAAAGTTACCTTTATTACGGAGGTGACCATTCTGGAGGGCAGGCTCTGGCCCTGTGCTGCAGCGGCCATGTTGGCAATGGTGCTGAGGTGGTTCATCTGGTTCATCGCCATGGTGACAGAGGCTGGGGGCAGGCTGACGGGGATCAGGGGGTGTGGCATCATCATGAAGGGGAGTTCCAGGCCTGAGACACATGAAGAGGTCGTTGGTTACCCAATGATGCATATTATGAGTGAGATATCCACAGGGGAAACTTCTGAGGCTCTGGCTAAAAAAAACTCAAGACCTGCCGCTGTTAATTCAGCAATCAGTAATTCCCACCACTGAGATACCCTTTAAAAATGGTGTCCAATAACACTAAAGCTTTACACTGCCATCCATTAGGAAAAAAAATGGAATAATTCAAATTAATCGCTTCTCTGGTGTCTTTTCATGTTAACATAATACACATAAATGTTTTACAACATATGTTAATAATAGATACTACTGTAATAATAATAAAGGAAACGGGCATGATAACTATATACACAGTCATTCAAAGACCAAAGTTTACACAGCAATAAAAATGCATAAATTATTCCGTGATGAATAAAAAGGGCACGTTATGGAAATTATCTCAATATTTACATATACAAAAATATCTCTGTGAATACAAAAGCAATCTTGAAAGCCATTACCCAAATGACTAGTTAAATGTGCTAATGACAAACAAGTACCGTCAGACCCCAGTATGGCAATGACTTCAGGCTAATTAAAGCAGCCTATATTCCAGACCAGAGAGAGAGCGCCACCAAAAAGAGTAAAGACACTTTCAGCTCCTACAATAATGGGTTTTTCATTTCTTTCTTTTTAATGTGCACACAAATTATTCCATTACAAGATCAGAGATGTCTTACAAATGTTTTAAATTATTCAATTGCAGTCTGGCAATAGAAGCCTAATTGGGAAAATTGAAAGCATTAGTAGTCCGAAATGTAAAGAATGTCTTATAAAGATACCATAGGGGGTTTAGTACTTAGTCAAACTGCGGCCCTGCACTGTGCTTCTGAATGGCTTAATGAAAACAAGCCAACTTTCAAAGGACACAAGCGCAGACAGAAGGTCAAAGCTAGGTGTCTGTACTCCCCCCCCCCCCCCCCCCGAAAAAAACACGGCACCCCCCTTCCTCCTCCTCCGCTCTATGGGGACTTTGAACTGGCAGGATCAAAAGTGACTGGGAACAGTTTGGTCTCATTCCTCCGCCACTCAGATGCTATTCCTCAAATGCTTTAAAGAAAACCTCACAGACACTATTGGATCTGATTGAGCCTCTCTGTTGATTTTTCACTTCTTTTTTCTCTTTTTCTTGGCAGCCTGGTTCAAGGTAAAAAAAGAAGAGAAAGCAGCGTGAGGGGAAAACAGATTCTGCACTACAGAAAGCTGATCCACAAAACAACTCCACTCTTTTTTATTTCTGACAAAACATCAGTAGCCAAAGGGCAAGGAGATCTGCATGGCGACGCCTATAAAGAGAAGGACACTGGTTCAAAATGAAAGGACATGAGAAGTACTCCTCTCTGTCATTCCCCTCCATCTAAAAGAAGCATTGATTTCCATAAGAAAGATGGCATGCAGTTTCTCAGTGGCGAGTATTCCCAAACAATATAAAGCAGCGGAGATGAAAGAAAGGCGGAAGCCAAGCAGCACCTTGTATCAGCGCCTCTGCTGTAGCTCAGACTGAATCAATTACCACTCAGCAGGCTAAGCTCAATTAAAAAACACCACAGAGGGCCTGATTGCGGGGGTACTTACTGTAGGACAACATGGGGAGGTTTAGGCTACCTATCAGCCTTTCAAGGCCACTCAAGGGCCAGAGTGAAGAGACTTATTTTGCCTTTGAGGTGGATGCATTACACCCATTCAATCAAACACAGCGACACGTATACATGCACATGGACAGATTTAAATACATCAATAAACAAAGTGGCGAATCCTTTCAAATAATACAAGGCTACTGTTAATCACAATCTTCTTTGCGTTTGGTTACATCTTGTACTTGACGGCATATGAATGTCTGTGATGTGTCTCCACCTGACAGAGCCCTGGGGGGAAACACTGGACCTCTGTTCCCCTCTAAGTGGTATTAGTCTCGCTTTCAGTGCCTGTCCAGCCCCTTTCATGTCGCCCCATCCTAAAGCGCTGTTTCTCCCATAAAAGGCCCATTCAGGGTACTGTAGGGGAATGTGCCACAAACCAAGAGGGTGCACCAAATCCTTTTATTTGTGGCTGAAAAGAGCCAGGTGAGGAGGATATTGGTTTATTCACAAAATCTGCCTTTTCTGCATAAGTGTTTTTGATTTAGTTCCCATGCACTTCCTTTGAAATCGCTTGGTTTTTGTTCTTGCTAAATAAAGCAACTGCAGAACTTTGGAACACTAAGCAGGGATTTATTTTCGAAAAACAGAATCAACACATTAGTCAGACTCATTAATCACCTAGATATTGTGTAGATATTCCATTGAGCAAACCGTTCGAGACATATTTGTCAGTTTGTGTTTCTCTCTGATAGAGAAGTTCAGAGCTGATGAGAGGTGAATTCCCACAAGCCCCCCTCTCTGCTGAAGGGCATAAACAATGCATTTGCAGTAATTTACCTGAAGTAAGCCTGAGGGACCTGTAAAGGTGAACTCCTATTTACCATCATTAAAACTACAAATCACTTAATACCAATATAAACAGCTCAGCTATTACGTCGTGCAGTGCTCGGGAGTTCACGCATGGATAAGCAAAGATCTGAATCACGGAGGATGAATGGAATGAATTAAAACAGCCCTTGGTAACGGCGTGATTAAAAAGCTGTTACATCAGAACCAAACCGCACGGCTGACGGTAGGTCCGACACTTAAAAGCATCACACCGAAAAAAAGATTGAATGTTGAATGCTTTAAAATGATTAAAAAGAGAGCAGTAATTTATTTTGATGACAGAAATGATAACCTGCAGTGATTTGTGCAGCAGTTAATCTTCATCTAAACAGGACTTTCTGGACGTGTAACCCTGCGGAGGAAAATAAGAAAAAAGGAACTAAGCCATTGTCATTGAAAATGGTACGGAGGTAGCAGCCAGCCCCTTACCCTTAACTCTGTTGTGGACAGATTTCCCCTGACAAAAATTAAACTAGCTCCTACTTGGCACTTTATTATCTCTTCAACTGAATGATTTATTGTTTGTGGAGCGAAAGAACCAAAGAGAGGGGGAAGATTACATTTCCAGCCAAAGCTCAGGCTTGATCTCGTTTTTTACTCCCTCTGTCCAGGAAAAGAGCTCCCGACAAACAATAATGTCAGCTGTAATTGATCGGAGGTCGCCGGCTGGGCCTGCAGTAAAAGCGCACTATTTAAGCGACAATCGGCCCTGCGCTCTTCAGACGCTGGCTAATGAAGCTGTCTGTCTTGGCTATTTACCTTCTCTTAAATGGAAGGGGAGAGATGTACTGTAAGAGACAGGGCTGGAGAGGATCTGCCTCCCGCTCCTGTGAAATAGGACCTGCACATGCCTCAGGAATGTATAATTGGTTGGCGCAGCCAAAGCTGGGGATCCGGTGCTAATTAAATGACTTGTTTAAAGCCTATCTGTCTTTGTTTGGGAGGCTCTGGGCTTCAGAACAATGCATTGTAAATGCTGTTGTCAAACAAACATTCCTGGTTATCCTTTGATTTGAATTGAACAAGACAAAGGGCTGATTTGCTTAGCGCTAAGCCTTTGGTTTTCATGGTGTTGAGATCTTTTTTTCCCTCTTCTGATCTGTCAAACTGAACAGGACCATTCCAGTCAAGCAGTTAAATGAACTGACTGAGTGCACAATGCATATGCAGTCCGCCACAGAAAAACAATCTTGGTTTTCCTCCTAATTGCGCTAGTAAAATGCCCCCATGTCGTGTACGTATTTCTCCAACAAAGGTGAGGCGGCGGTGCACACACATGGAGAGTCTTTGTTGTGGTCGTATCATGGATTTGCACACCAGTCCCAAAAGGAAATGAATGGCTCGTGAAAAAGTGTCTGTCATGCCGCAAGACATTTAGAGGTCTTTCCATAGCACTAATCAGCTATTCATCTTTACTATAACTATTAATCTCCTCCAAAATCAGAAGCACGGCCACGTGAGATGGAGGGAGCCTTATAGCCGTTAGATCAAACATAAGACACAGCCTCTATAAATATGTTGTCTGGCATTGTGGTGCCACTTTACACAAAACAAGCGCATGGTTACATATGCACAGACACACAACTGCTTCCACATTTCACACACACATACACGCAAACAAGAAGGAAAAAAAAACAGACACACACAGATGGCAGGTTCAGTCAAGGCTGGTGAGTCCTGTTTCTCATTAAAATGGGGGGAGAGAGGAAGGTATTGAGCTTTGATGTAGCCACCCACAGCTTCTCAGTGTCATTGAATGAAACTTTGAAGCCTTTTGTGTTTACGCAGTTAATGTTGATAATAAAGCAAACATCTTGCCTTTGTTAAATACTTGCTTTACACGTACGTATGCACACACACACAAGCAAACACGCAAACGGACACATAAAAAGAATACATCTTGCGTTAACAAGGAGAGGTAAACATGAAAACACATAGGGGTACACGCTCCGACAATATAGATACCTGTGTGTAGGTGCATACACAAATGGAACCAGCCAAAAATAAAAACACATGCAAACAAAATCCTTTACATTCAAAGAGCCGTGATGATTGGACACATTTCAAGCTAATTCACATCAACAAACAAAATGTGTTTTGCATGCCAGGATAAAGAGAAACACTTTCCAATGATTCAGGTACGGGAAGATTTCCTGCCAAGATGGCTAATGTAATGTAATGTAAGAGAAGCCATGATAAGAAAACATTTCTGGTTTGATGAGGTAACATAATTGCTTTCCTACTCAAACCGCTGGAGTGTAACATGTGGTAGAAATTATCAAGGAGACAGACAGAGGTGTTTGTCCTTTAAGTGTATAAAATCTAAAGCAGGCAACTTTTATAGGATAATTCCAATCCTCGGCTCTAATGGCATGCATTCCTTATGAAAATTGAAAGATCAATCATCTCCCTGACAGATCTGTTGTGAAAAAAGTTCGTCCCATCTTTGAAGAGAAAATGCTAAACACGTCTCGCCAATCGCCCCCACCCGCTCTCGCCC